GTTGTCCCCTATAGGGATCAAAAAGCTTAAAGAACAAAGATTTTGTTCTTCAGAAAACTGAAGATTCTTGTTGTACAAATCTTCGGAGAACACATATATGATCTCCATAGGGGACAAATGAAGATCAATTTTTTTGTTTTTTGAAGAACACAGATTTTTAACAGTGTACTCGTAAAACGTTAGTACGATGCCGAATTTAACAAACTCTCAATGGTTTTGTTGAATGAATCGATACAAAGTATTTTGACTATGACATTAGGATCTGGTCTGGATAAAAGAGCCTCGAAAGACAATGCTGTCGAAAACAAGAAACCAAACACTATTGAAATACATTGGCACATATGTTTCTACTTACGAGATAGATTGCCTGTGTACGATTATTTTTCAATGTTTTGATATGTTGCATTCTACTCAATAGAACCTGCATGGTGAGAAAAACATGACAAAAAAAATAATCTGGTTACTAACTTCAAAGGGAATAAACAGAAAAAATATCATCTGTGGAACTGAGAGTCTGTTTTCTTGTACTATATCTAACCTCACTGCTCTACATTTTCGCTGAATTTTGATTAATTTCCTCATGAAAAGACGGATACGTACAAGGTAAAGAATCGCCGCACGTTGTTTTTTGTTCAAAATGATCCTATGAGAAGCCGAAAACTACGAACATTTGATTTTAGGTACTTTCGAGTGGTTATAGCCGTTCCATCCAGATAGGATCTTCACTTGACAACTGGCATTACACAGCACTGTTAAAATCCTTCTCATACGCTTTTCTCTGGCACTATAGCAGATATGAAGAAATCAACGCTTAATTAGAAAGCTCTTTCAATTCTCTACAAGCTGATGTATTCACAATATCTTCATCAAATTGCCAAAGGTCGTTAAGTTTAACATACTATGTATAGCTAGAGAAAAATGCGATCTGTTTATAACTTTATAAGGTTATAACTTTTATAAAAGTTATCTTGATGTATTATGTTTAATCACAAGGATTTCACAGGAATCAGATTAGGAAATTCTTTCAGCTGTACAAATCTTTTTCCAAATTTGTTTCACCTACTATGATCGACGAGAAAAATGAAAAAGAAAGGTGGACGAATAACTTTTTGGACCTACTGTACGTTTAACTTTTTCCTTTTTTAACTTATCCTATCTGGATGGAACGACTATAACCACTCGAAAGTACCTAAAATCAAATGTTCGTAGTTTTCGGCTTCTCATAGGGTCATTTTGAGTAAAAAAACAACGTGGGGCGATTCTTTACCTTGTACGTACCCGTCTTTTTCATGAGGAAATTAATCAAAATTCAGCGAAAATGTAGAAAGAAAACTATATTTGTCAATGTTACCTAACACGACGACTGAGATCTTCGTCTTCTTTACGACTACCTACGAAACGAAGAAAAAAAAATAATAGATAAACATAGTAGTCAACAAAAAACAATTTGAAAGAAAAACTCACCACGTCGTGAAGCTAGAAGATTTTTCAACGAATACGGTTTATGTTCTAAAACAATTTCAGATGTAAATGCAAAATAGTGGGTGATATCTTTGAACTCCTGATATCACACTAAAAAATAATGTGTCGCAAGTGTCGTAAAACGTGACATATTCGGCTGCGACACTGGGTGTCGGTAGTGACACATTTTTTCTACTGGGATTCGAACTTAGACGAAAGTCAAAAAGTATGAACAATCAAGTTCCATTTACCTCAAAGGAAGGTTTCAAGTTTTAGAAAACCGCTAAATCAAAGACATGAGTTATATTTATCTTTTATTAGCGACGTCTACCGCTGCTTCAAGATCAAGAGATGGCAAAGAAATATCAAACGGAGAATGCTAAAGAACACTAAAACAGAGGCAGGAGCGGTGTAGTTTCGTTCGTAGGTCTAACATCTGCTAAAAAACTACGTCTTTAGAATCTTAGTAACTGCGACACCTCGGCAGCAGCACATTCGTTTGCGATACATTTTGCTCATAGCGTCTGTGACACAATTTACTGCGACACATAAATACGACACATTTTTTACTGTCTAAACGAATAATCTTACCATCTTCATTTGCGAATTTTGAATTATTTGGTAAACGATGTTCCATGCGTACAATTCGATCTCCCATCGGTGTTCCCCCATAACTGATTGATGATACACCAGGAACTGCATCATGATTGATAAAAGCACTTCTTGTACTATCCAACGTGTGACGACGTACAGGTTCAGTAGTTGTTTCGTCATCGTCTACTATATCATTTAATAAATGCCTTTTGGATCGAGTTTGTCTCTTATATATATCATTTTCATTTACTGATTTTATAGTCAGATATTTATGGCCAAGTGAGCCGGCGTTCATATGTTTTATCTAAAAACTAGTGTGTTAAACTTAATGGCACATTATTAAACTCATGAAGATAGAAGTCAATCGTTGTACAGCAGAGAGGCTAAGAACCGTGAATTTACTTCTGCAATTTACTACAAAACTAAGTGTATATGCTCGAATCTCTATTCGTACAAAATTGATATCGTGTATTTTTATAGTTTTTGTTTAGGAATATGGTTATGAAATATATCGCTTGTATTTTGAAAGAATAACGTCTATATCAAGAAAATTCGAAAAGAATAAACATAAAAATGAATATATCACTATTATTCATAATGATATTTTTGAAACAATTTTGGTAATTAGAAACAAATATAGAAACAAAAAATAGAAAATGAACCT